TGCTCGTGGATCAAATGCCATGACAGGGCCTGAAGGGGAAGGTCTGTGTTAAACAAGGCTCAGACCCATGTTTTCTTCCTATCGTGGGGGCTGTCAGGGAGGCAGACAACTCCTGGCTGTCGAGAAACTGTCCAAAGCTCGAGAGGCTGGCAGGTCCCAATGACCCTGCCCTTCCAGAGGTCTCCAGTCTCTTACCTTCAAGCACCCGCTCCCCAAAGCACCCAGGGCTCCCCTCTCTGCCAGAATGCCCACCCTGATCTTGCTGCCCCTTTATCCTTCAGCTCTGTGGGCTCCTCTAGAAATCCTTCCTGGCCACAAGCCTCCAGGCCAGGCTTTTCCTCGGGGCTCCATAGCCCAGGCCTTCCCACTGCCATAGTCACAGAGGCTGAATTGGAGAGTGTGGATTGTGGAGACAGCCAGACTTGGGTTCAAATGCCAATTGGCTACTTCCTAGTGGGTGAATCTGGTCAAGTCACCGAACCTCTCTAAGCTCTGCTTTCCTCAACCGTAAAATGGGAATAACAGAGCCCTCCAGGGTTGCAGCGAGACCTGAATAAGATGATGCATGTGAAGTAGTTCATCCTGCATACAGCAGGCCCACGAGAGCTGGGAGCGATCACTGTACTCTAACCATATGTTCTCTTGCCAGCCTCCCCACTACACTGAGACCTGCAGGACAGGGGTCACAGCGATCTGACTTGGCCTGGCTCCAAGCAAGTGCTTGTTCATCCTTTCATGAATGACTGCATGAACGTCCTCCCAACATCTCTCTCTCTCTGCTGTGAAGTGGAGATGGAGTTGGTGCTGGATTAGCTGTGTCCTCGCTTAGGCTGGTCAACGTAGCTCTGACCCTCTGGCTTTTTAAGGATGCAAACCAGACTCTATTTTCTAGAAGTTGTATGGAAATGCAATGCACCCACAGTATGTACACCTTAAAAAAATTTTAATGGATGATCTGTCCTAAAATCAAAAGCATCTGAGAATCAAGGAAATAGATGAACATATAAGCTCATGATGGCTCCCCACGTTGTATTCGGGAGATCTCCAAAAGGTTTGTATTTGTCTCTCCAATCACCCTTGCTTCTCTCTGCCTGACGTTTCTCCCTGTCTAGCCCTCCTCTATGACGAACGCCCTCTCCCCTAAGCCTACTCCCCAGACACAGCAGGGCCTGGCTCTTCACAGCCTTCCTGCCTCAGCTGTGCAGCAGGGACAGGAAGTGCTGTGCTGCCAGTCTCACGAGGCAACTGTGAGGAACTGGTGTGGCAAGGGGTTCACTCAGGAGAGAAAGGGATGGACATGACACCTGACAACAAGCAGTCACTGTAGAAAGGAGGTGAAGAGCACCAGATTGGGCACAGCTCTTGGTTGACAGTGCAGTCACACTTCCCTCCGCACAGAAACACTGAGTTCCTGAGCTGCCTCTTACCTCAAGGGTCATGACCACAAACTTCACGGCGTCCCTTTCCTTCTCAGGAGGAAGAAGCAAGTGGCCAGGCAGTTTGGAGAACACCAGCAGGTACTGGGCCAGTGCCCGGGCCAGAGTGGTCAAAGCCCGATACAACACGGCATCCCCTGAAACAGAAGATCTTCGTGGGTGGACGCGACTCTAGCAGAGGCTCGTGACCTTAGAAAGGCAGTCAGGCAATTCTCTGAGAATCTGATGGAAGCGAAAGACATCGCTCCTCAGAAGCACATCTGCACACACACCCAACTGCCGTGGGCGACTCCAGGCCTCACATTCCCCTGAGGTCTATCCTAGCATTCCCCGAGGGCTCGGAGCCCGGACTATGTCAACAAATGGCAAAGCAGCAAACATAGCAAGAGACATGCATAGCCAGGGACCCCAGCGTTGTTTCTCAATTACCTCTGTAAATGCTTTCCATTTATTAGATCAACAGCATTTACTGTATCTTTACTCGGTGCAAAGCACTGTACTGGCTCTGCAGCATTTTTAAAAAACTAAAAGAAGTTTTTATTTTAATTACCAAATAGATCATTCAACTTGCTCCAGTAGGCGCTGGGCTCCACGGCCAGGAATGGTTGGAACACTTGATGGACGACAGGGAGCTGCTGAACCATGCTGGTCACACGGTCCAGGGTCACCACTCGAGCAGCTTCAAACAGGGGACTCTTCTGGCCTCCAGAAATTTCACGTGTGCCCAGGCCCAAGCATGGGGCTAACAGGCTTAAATTGAACTCCTGGGCATGAAAGGTTCAACAATGACAATTACAAGCTTTCAATTAGGAGGCAAAACACAACAGAAGAATAGACACAAATGTTTCTGAGATAACAAGATTTATTTACCATAAAAAATATTTTAAAGAATATTCTACTTCTGATATAAATAAATAAACAACTCCATTTATCATATGCTCAGTGAAATATATTTCTGGTCTCTTCTGGGTACTTTAATTTTATTTATTGTTTTTATTTATTTTTTTTGTGAGGAAGATTAGCCCTGAGCTAACATCAGATGCCAATCTTCCTCTTTTTGCTGAGGAAGACTGGCCCTGGGCTAACATCCGGGCCCATCTTCCTCTACTTTATATGGGACGCCGCCACAGCATGGCTTGACAAGCAGCGTGTTGGTGCGCACCCGGGATCCAAACCCACGCACCCCCGGCTGCCAAAGTGGAGTGCACGCACTTAACCACTACACCAACAGGCCGGCCCCGGCTACTTTCAATTTTAAAGAAATATTTTTATTTTTTATGCCTTCAGATTGGTTTGAAATCAAAAATTTAATATGACAAAATTTTAGTTGACAAAAATACAAAATCGGGCTGATGTGCCATCCAAGAAATCAGTGAAACACCAAACATTCCCAAAGTTTGAAAAAGATAAGTTATGTTCAAAAGCAGCTGAAATAAATCAAAGCAGCCAAATAAATGCCACAATTTTGGTTGGAAAAAAGGTGTTTCAATTTGTATTGTGCTTTGCCAACTTTTTAAAACCATTTAAGGATTTTTTTGGCCAATTTCAGGGGGAATATCAATCTTAATTTAGTTAATATTCAGAAAAGCATACGTCATCATCAGTGACCAAAATTGAACCGTTCTGTTACAGCCAGAACTTTAAGGCTGTTAAAAGTCCAATTAGTGAATTCGGAAAATTCAATAAATTGGTCATTAAGCAAATTGATCATTCGGCAAATCAGCTTTCACTGAATGGGTCTCAAAATGATTTTAGCAAACTGATTTTGGGCCAATTCTCCTGTTTTTTTCAATGTAGCTCTTACATTCAAACTGATGAAGAATCAGTACTTCTGTGTTGCCTCCACCTGGAGTCTCTTTTCATCCACTCCTGGCCCATTCTTTGTTGTCCCCCTCAATTCACCTTGCCATCCCCCCAGGTCTCTGCTGCTTCTTCATTCCCACTTGGCACATATCAAGGCAGTGCTAAAATGCCTCAAGGTTTAGTTGACTGCTCATCCCAGCAGGTCTGAAAACGAACCCACTATGGCTGTGGTTGGACAGTACCGAAAAGGGGGGCTCCACTCCTCACAGGGCCTGCCCAAGAGCTGAGGACAAAGACAAGGAAGCTTTGCAAAGGCCTCCTGGGCCAGCTCTGCATGGCTTACCTGCACAACACTGAGGGTGGGGATGTGGGACCTCATGACATCTAGTGAGGGGGTGAGGGACCTCACTACATGTGTTGGGGGGAGAGGAACCTCACTACTTGTGATGAGGGGAGAGGGACCTCACTACTTGTGATGGGGGAGGGTGACGTCACTACTTGTGATGGGGGAGGGGAACCTCACTACATGTGATGGGGGGAGGGGAACCTCACTACTTGTGATGAGGAGAGGGTGACCTCACTACATGTGATGGGGGAGGGGGACCTCACTACATGTAGGGAGGAGGGGGACCTCACTACAGGTGATGGGGGAGGGGGAACCTCAATACATGTGTTGGGGGAGGGGGAGCCTCACTACATGTAATGCGGGAGGGGGAACCTCACTACATGTGGTGGGGGAGGGGGAGCCTCACTACATGTGGTGGCGGAGGGGGAGCCTCACAACATGTGATGGGGGAGGGGGAACCTCACTACATGTGGTGGGGAGAGGGGGACTTCACTACTTGTGATGAGGGGAGGGGGAATCGCACTACTTGTGATGGGGGAGGGGGACCTTACTACATGTAGGGAGGGGGAACCTCACTACATGTGATGGGGGAGGGGGAACCTTACTACAGGTGGTGGGGGGAGGGGGACCTCACTACTTGTGGCTGGGGGAGGGGGACCTCACTACATCTAGAAAGGGGGCTTACTAAAGATCAATTTCCAGAACACCAGGAGAGAGTCAGTTAAATCATGCACGATGACACCATGCCAATACGTTTCCTCATGACCATGAGAACTAGCAATTAGAATTGATTATAATCTAAGAGAACCTATTTTCTTTAAATGCATGAAATGTTGACTTAAACACAACACGCCTCCTCTTGGATACTAATGTGGTAGAAATAATGTCTTGTCCAGTCTGCATCAGTCTTCTCTCGTCCTGTCCTGTCTGGATTAGAGTTTCTGCCACTAAGGCAGAAAGGTGAGCGGTACACATCATAAGTAGGTCGCATGACAATGAAACAAATCAAACATGAGAGCAACAGAAGAAAGACAGGGTTTTCCTGGCCTCCCGCTCTCCCCACCATACCGAGTTCATCATGAATGCACTCATGTCCCCAGGAGGAAGCCGATTCACCAGCTCTGCTCCTTCCAGCAGTGCAGCATCTGACCTAGTCCAGCACTGGGATTTGACTAGACGTATGTACCAGTCCTGGGAAGAAGAAAAAGGCAGATAATGGAATGCAACTGGGCAGGGCTTTCAAGGGGCTTCGACACTATTGGAAATGCGTTGTTTCTTTGCTCACTGCCCCTCATGTCCTGTGGCCCCAGACCAAAGGACAAGTGGCCTCCCCTGGACTTTGACTGTAGCTTTGGCAAAACTGAACTCTGGCTGGCATGGGGGTTGCTCATCAAACCACAGGAAGTGCTGCGAAGGCTGTGTCTTTGGATTTGCTGTTACCGTCTGGACACCTTCTCCTTTCCTCCTCACCTGGTGAATGTCCAACTGTCCTTCAAACTCCGCTTACGCACTGAGGGTAGCAGGCCCTTCTCTCTGTGCCCTCATCCTCGCCTGGCATTGCACCTATCATCTTCTATTGGGGTTCCTTCTATTGGGGTTTGCTCCTCTCTCCCCAGAGCCAGCACAGCAGAGGCATTGAGCAAATCAAGCCTGAGAATAGAGGCCTCAACTTTGCTATTCTATGCCTGGGCTGCTGGTTTCTGAACTCCAAGTTCATCTTTAAATTGAACTCTCTCCAGGAAAGTAGAGTATCAAGGCTCTACCAAGGCCCCAAACGGCTCCCAGCTCTGAGGTGTGAGTGGTGAGGGTGATAATAGCCAGGGCCCTTGGGGTGGTGGGGTCAATATGCAGGAGGTCAGCAGGCATAAGGAGAGGGAGACAGGCCAAAGGAGCATGCCCTTGAAGGGCTGTGCAATCATGAGTACAGGCCACGGCCCCCCATCTCCTGATTCTCCCATTAACTACCCACCACAAGTGTCCTAAAGTCAACATTTCCTCTCTCAACCCATGCCCCTGCTGGACCTCAGGCATCCTGTCAGTGAGGCGACCCTGCCCATCGCTGGCAAGCAGCAGGGCAGGCCAAGAGCCCCCGGGAGCCACGCAGAGTGCCAGGATGTCTTGCCTCCTTAGCTACCCTGTTGCACACTCTGGATCTGCTGCAGGTGGACAGAGGTACTGAGTGCCCTGAGTGGCCCTGTGCGTCTCATGCAGGCATGCTGGACACTTACTTTGTCTGGATTAACTGTCTCCAGAGCCAGGGGCCCAACCCCATCCAGCGGGTGGGATGTGACCGGAGGAGAGGGGCCACATGACCCTGGTGCAGTGGCGAGACGCAGCCTGTCCAGCAGGGAGTAGAGTCTTTGGTGTCTGGAATCCAATCACATGTGGGTTAGAGCTTCACAGGGAAGAAATACAGCTGCTGCTTACAATGAGAGGCAACATGTCTGAAACTATCTCTTCAGAGCTGCTTCTTATCACACTCAAACAAGTCCTGATGCAAACTCAGGCCCTAGTTTACTCTTAATAACCACAGTTTATGCCTCATAAGCACTTTCCAGAAATTTCAGTTATACTCAAACACTGCATCAGGTAATACACAGTATAATAGCTAATAAAAATATTCTCTATAAATGCAAACTGATCATTTATTCTAAGATCCAAGTGCAGGAAATCTCCCACTTAATCTCCCAGGAAGATACAATTTATACCAATTTATGTTAATTTCATAAAAGAATCACCTCATCTGGTACAAGATATTTATAATCTTCCTCATCTGGGCTGAATACTAAGTCTAGAGTCAAAAAATAAAAGTAGTTTGACTTCCCACCATCTGCTATGAGAATGACAACTTCATAATGCAAATTACAACACAACTCAGCCCAGCATACTGAAAAATCATCCAAAACTGTGTGCTGCCCACCAAATTATGCCCCTTCTCAATCAGACACCATCAACAAGCTACTCTTAAGATTGAAGTCACAGCTAAAGTGTGCAGCCCAGCCCTTCCCATACCAGCTCTGGAGCCCATCAAAGAGATTGCCCTGCACCGTAGTGGGACAGAAGGGGCCAGAGCTCTTCTGGGCAAATGTTATACACTTCAGTCTTTCCTATTTATACCCAATGTCCAACATATACATTTTTAAAATATGAGACAATCAGGAAAATGTGACCCACGATTAAAAAAAAAAAAGTGGTGTTATTAGTACCTCTATGTGACAAAGACTCTCTCTCCGTTGACCACACTGCAGTCAGGCTCCTCTGAGAACTCTTTGAGTAGGCCTCACCCTCGGGTTCTGTCCTTGGCCCATTTAGTCATTTTAGCAAGAGTCCTTATGAATTGTTCCACCCTTAATATCTGATCAAATTCCTCATCCCCCACCCTCTAGATCTTATCACCCTGGCCTGCCTCTGGCAACATCCTGTCTAGTTGGTTTAGCCAGAATATTCCCTTACCCCTGAAGTTTCCTCATGGTAATTTTCCATCCACTGACCCCCAGCCTGTTCCTCAGCTATAAATCTCCACTTGTCCATGCTGTATTCAGAGCTGAGCTCACTCTCTCTCCTCTACTACAAAACCCCATTGTAGGGCCAGCCCCAGTGCCCTAGTGGTGAAGCTTGGCGCGCTCCGCTTTGGCGGCCCGGGTTCAGTTCCTGGGTGCGGACCTACACCACTTGTCAGTGGCCATGCTGTGGCAGCAGCTTACATACAAAAAGAGGAAGATTGGCAATAGACGTTAGCTCAAGGTGAATCTTACTCAGCAAAAAGAGGAAAATTGGCAACAGATATTAGCTCAGGGTGAATCTTCCTCAGCAAAAAAACAAAACAAAACAAAAACAAAAACAAACCCATTGTAGTAGTTGCCCTGAATAGTCTGCCTTACCATCTTAAAAAACAAAACAAAACACTGAAGTCACAGCATAATAAATACATTTTCACACACATTTTCCCACCTGTGGAGGAAAAAAGGTAAAAGCTGCTCTTAATTTTTGCAATCATGGAAATATACTCATATAATAGATGTCATGATTTCTAATAAAGCCTTCTTTTTTTTTTTATTTTTTTTTATTTTTTGTGAGGAAGATTGGCCCTGAACTAACGTCTGCCAATCCTCCTCTCTTTGCTGAGGAAGACTGGCCCTGGGCTAACATCCATGCCCATCTTCCTCCACTTTATATGGGACGCCACCACAGCATGGCTTGACAAGCCGTGCATCGGTGCACGCCCAAGATCCGAACCGACAAATCCTGTGTCACCGAAGCAGAGCGCACACACTTAACCGCTTGAGCCACTGGGCCGGCCCCCTAATAAAGCCTTCTAAAAGACTTTGCAAACAAAATTAGGTGATAAATAGCTACAAAAAGATAAAATTTTAAGAAGCAGAAGATATAATTCTTGCATGCCACGAACTAGGAAGCATCTTTCAGATCTGCCAACTCTTATTTAACAATTAGATTATATGCCTTGATTTTGCTAAGATACAGCTGATAACCTGTATTCCCATTCATCATCGGGCAGTGAACAGAGGCACTATGAACACTGCTACCTCTCAGCAGCCCACAAGAGCACAGGTGTCCCTCTGTAAATGTGATAGAGGTCAGACTGCCAGTGGTCCTTTCTCCTTATAAACTCATCTATAAAGCACGTCAATCTCTCATCCTGTGAGTTTATTCCGTTACAAATCTAAGTCTTTATATCCAAAAGCAAGGAACACCTGGTTCCAGCATTACCTCTGAGCTAACCCACTGCTCTGAAGGTATTCCTGGATTCTGTTGAGTTCTTCCACTGGCAGCTGGGCCATGTTGCTCTAAAGTAGACAAGAACACATCAGTGGATTTATAGCACATAAGGGATCAAAATAACCTCATGCTCATTTACAAAGGATAAACTGACATGGACGGCTTATCGTAGCAAAGGCAGGCTAAAAGAAAGCACAAGAAGCACTTGTATCAGACATACAAGGAATGACCAGTTTATACAAGTTATACATGTTTCTCTCAGTGGCCACATGAAGAATGTGCCTATAGAGGAAGAAAATAGCCAATTGTTTTGCTTGCCTTGCTTAGTTTTCAATAAAAATTAATTCAAGTGTTTTTTTCAGTACCTGTAAATTTGCAGCCAAAAGCATTTCTACCCGGCGACAAGCAAGGGTGTCAACCATGCGAGCCAGCACACGGAGCGGAGTACACAAAAGCTTGTCCACATACAGCATCAGCACGGCACCCGACTGGCTGAGGTGGATCCCTTCTAAGCACTGAAGAGTTTTCTTCAGAGTGGTGGGCTGACATTTGAGAGAAGGAAAGAAACAAGAGCAGAGTATTTTGCCAATTAGAAATCAGCAGTTTTAAAATTCCAATACTCCATTTCTCAGGCAAGAGAAAACTGTGACTGGCAACAATTGGCACTCAGAAGACTTACAGTTGAAAGATTTTCACAACGAGACTGAATTGCCTGGATGAAAAGGCCACTGGCAGCAGAATTCCGATGGACCGCACTAATAAAATCCTGCACAGGAGGCTCATGGGATAGACTGATCAGATCTTGAATATGATTCACGATGAGCCACGTTAAGTGCTCTGAATCATGTAGGTTCTGACACTGAGGAAAAAGACAATGAAAGACACATTTTCAAGTAGACAAGGAGAAAACAGACATTAATGCCAGAGAAAGGGCCAATAGGGTAGGAAGGGGAAGACAGATTCCAAATTATAATCCTCAGTGAAAACATCTAGTGTTTGACCAATAAAGGAGGAATAAAACTCACTTTACAAAGCCTGTCACCTCCAACCACGCACTGTGGCTGAGGCTGTTGGAAGTCACACCACACTGGGGAAATGCAACCCAGCAGTCCGGCTCCAAAGGGCACCAGCCAATGGTCAAAGGATAGAGGAGGAGAGGCGCGCAGCCCAGGACTGTGGGAGAGTCACTAGGCACCTGCCACGGGCCTGTCTGCCTGGTGCGACCTAAGGGCAGCAGGAAGGCAGGAGTAGCACGGCGCTGCCCTCATAGGTGACCGTCCCGAAGCCGGAATGCATGAGAACAAGCGACACTCCAAGCATCACTCTGGCCTACTGAGCAGTGTTCTCCAGTTACTCCTTTCCCGATTTTGTGACAGGTCAGTGAAAAAAAAAACTCACTAAACTGTCAGTTTTGACAGAATTCCTGAGTCCAAAATATGAATGGATCCCACATATTAAACGGACCTTAAGTGAAGAAATTTCACTTAACGTTTATAAGGAAATAAGAAATACCCATTTTTAAACACACATGTTGCCTTTGCATCTTAATTCATAATCCTTCAAGACAGAAATTATAAAATGTGATCAATTCTTTCACATCTGGTTAATGAGTAATATTTTCCACATGGGGTAATCTGACAATATTAACATAAAATTAATATCTTTCTTACATTTCTGTGAAAATCAGCATTATATAATTATATTAAATTATTTCTCAAAAATGAAACAAGATTGAAAAACTATTTCAACATCAAGAACGTAAAGCAAAAAATGAATATGAATAAAGTGCTATCACAACAAAAAATGATAACATCTGGTTCCGTTGAAGAAGTCTGCTTCCTTTTCCAATTCAGAATGTTTAACAAATCATTATGTTGTACACCTTAAACTTACACAATGTTATATGTCAACTGTATCTCAATAAAACTGAAAAAACAAATGAAAGTAAAAAAACCACCAAAATGTTTAACAATGTTTTGCCAGGTGATAGCAGTATGTATATGATACCATGTTTGTACCAGAGAAATGCATATATTTTTATATCAGTATAGAAAAAGTACTAAATAC